GCTCGAAGCATGTATAGTTATTTTGAATACTACTTTGAAATGCTACTTTGATATGTTGAGATGTTTGGATTACTCTTGATATATGCATGAGATTTTGCTGAAATTTGTATGCATAATTTAAATTAAATTAGTGCATAATATTATGAGATATTAGTATTGTCGCACACTTGAAATAACATATAATAATATTTTTTATGATATCTTATAATTTTTATATGATGTCTATGTCAATGAGTACATAGAGAAGTAGAAGCATATAATATATGTATATTGAAGCATAATTTTTATTTATTGGAAATTATTTTGTAATACGTGATTAAATGATATGAATATTTATGCTATGAATATAAATGATTTTCAGCATGAATATTGATGCTTAATCGGATAATGAATTATTGTATGTATGAACGGATTATTTATTTATTCCATCTTAATTTTGAAATGCTTATGTACATATAAGTATTTTGTATGCATGTAGATATTTGGAACTATGATTACGTGCATATATGTATGTTTATAAGCTTATGATTAGTTCCAAATGTTAAGTTATATCATTCAATATTTAGTATATTGAAGATCAAGTTGAAAGTATTGAGAAATGAAATATTCGAACTGTTAATGAGTAAGAAAGCCATGTTGATAATTCTAGAGTAAGCTAGAATTTGTGGGGGAGATTATGGCTCACCACTTTCTCATTACTTTACCACACAAAGGTTTTAGACCATAGAAATGTGGGGGTGTTTTGACTAAGGTAAATGTACCAAAGTTGAACAAGTTCAAAGAGCCTAAGAATTTTGAAATGCATATTTATTGAATATGCGAAGTACGATAGTGCACAAGATAGTCGTTCTTGATGTAACTAAATTAAATGTGTTTGGAAAATTAGATTTTGACCCAAGTTTGACAAACAATTTAAGTGGATTCCATTTGAATAGTTATGGAATAAAAATCTACACTTTGACTAGATAAATCTAGTGTGTTTAATTTCTTAAACTCGACTAGGGTGAATGAGAATTAATGTATATGGAGGTGAAAAGTCACCATCCCACATTAACAATGAGCTACATTTAAAACACTTTATTAAGTGTAAATGGTTAGCTAAGGAAATATCTCTCTAAGAGATCAAGTGGTGATTTATAAAGTGATAAATAACCAAACGCTCAAATCAACAATTTGATTTCGACTTTCTAATGTATGAGTTAGGAAATGAACCTAGGACAACTAATGAAGTGTTGTCCAACTTGGGGTTACATGTCTTTGAGACAAAAGAAAAATTAGTGAACTTAAATAAGTTCTAAAGCAATTGCATATTTGATAAGAATTTGTTATCAAATACTTTTAAACTTGGCGAGTTTGAAAAGCACGTGTGTGATATATGTACATAAGAGTACATGTTTTTGAGTAAATGACATGTTAGTCATGCGGTGTAATCATGATATTACATGAAAACTAATGAAATATTAGTAAAATATTTCAATGTGAAAAATGTGGTCCTATTGATGCAATATTATAGAGATTAAAATCACTAAGGATTTGATGAAGTATTGGAGTCTCATTATGTTGAGACAATGCTAGTCATATTGAATTCATCAATATAAGACTATAATATAAGAATAGTGGTGAACAATGGTTCAACTAAAATATTCTTGAAGAGATTGTAGTTTAATGAACTACATGTTGATTGACTCATTAAGCAAGTCAAGTAAATAGGTAATCTTATATGTAATAAGTTGATGAACTAATAAGTTTTATTGGAAGTACAAACGTAAATTACATTATAGAAGATATCCAATTGTACTTGAAAAGTAAACATAGGAATTGGATATGTGCTACTAAGATACTAAGTCCATAAATGTTTTTGTATTGTGGAAGTCCTCAAAATAAATGTATAACTCGATTCACTATGGAATTCGAGACATAACTTGGAAGTTAAAGAAAAATGTTGGATAACTCCATAATTTTCTAGAGGACATTAAGTGATGGACTTAGTTGGTGCTTGAAAATAATTGTAGTAGTCAGTTGGCTATACAGAAGAGCACAAAATAATATGTAAAATGGTAAAGTCTCGATCGTAGATGCAACACCATTCAGAAATTGATCTCTAGTGAAATTATAAACGTTGACTTTGCGAAGTCAAGAGATAAGTTGGTTGATCCTTGACGAAGGAATCAATAGAGATCAAATGTGCTAGTTAGTGATGGGAATGGGCCTATAAACCCACAACTCAAACGAAAATCCGTGATGGTAACCCAACCTTGTAGATTGGAGATCCCAAGATCTTGGTTCAATGGGACAACTAAGTTATGGAAATTCAAACCGAGCATTTGGAAATAATTCCTACCATTCCCTAAAATCCAAATGCTACCTGTCGAATGTGGTGAGGTTAAGTCTAGTGACTTTTAATGATTCCTATGACCTTTTAAGGTGGAATACGGCAGGGTATTCTTTATGGGAGATCACCTATTTAAGTGTGAAGTATAGGGCCGCTTCAATGAAACACTTATGAATCCAAGAATTGGTCCAAGGCCGAAATGGACACAATGTGAGAACAAAAGAAGTTAGAGATGTTATTGTGTAAATGTTGTTGTCTTGGTTTACACAAAAGTTGATTAGTTCAAGACATCGCGTTCACTAAACAACAAGTAAATCCGACAACATTTTACTAAGGAAGGTTCAAAGCCATAAGCTACCTCTCCCGATGCAATAACAAATCGCTTGGACTTTGAATGTGTCTGCATGCATTAATTTCATTCATGTGGGGGATTGTTGGAAATTTTGAGTATTTGACTCAAATTTTGTTGAATATTTAAGTGGTTTAATTTAAATTCTCAAAATTAATTTTTGATGAATGATAAATTAATGGATCATTTAAAATATTTAAGTGTGGAAAATAATAAAGTGAAATGCCACCATTTAAGCACCTATTGAATTGAATAGGTGTGTAGTTAATGAGAAAATGTGCGATACCTTTTCATGAAATTATTTTCCTAACAGTTGTGACTTGTGGTCATAATCTTTGAAAATCTATAAATAGATTCCAAAATCCACCATTTGATGAATTTCATTATTCACATGGAATTCAATACATTAATTGAATTCACTTCTCGTCATAACATATCATTGCATATTGTTGCATTACCAAGTCTATTTCTTCGTGTCTTATAAAGTCCTAAACGTCGTTTCGTTCGCCGTGTTCCAATAATTGTTGTGCTGCTTTGTTGGAACTGAAATAGTCGTTGTATCTTGGGAGACAATTGCCATAACCGAGAGCACTGCACGGGGCAAATTTTTCTTAAGGAGAAAGAACTTAGTTCTTGCCTCGACTACATTTTTCTTGTCAAACTTTTGTCCATTTTGTTTATTCTCATTTCGAAATACACACACCCAAATAACAGGATCTTCAAAAAGTTCCATAGCAAGAGTAGTCTTACCAATGCCCGCCATTCCAACGAGAGAGACAGACGTGTAGTAATTATACGGATCCGTTAGATCTAGAAGCCGCATTTGGATTTCTTGAAATTGATCAGAAAGTCCAACCATCTGTGACTTTTTTCCACGGGAACCAATTCTTGATAAAACGGCATCTTCTTCTTCACGGGCTGAGTTGTTGAGTTCGTTAATGTACTCGCATTCCATCTTCTTGATTGTTTCGTTGAAGGAACCAATCTCTTGCTTTACTTCCTCTATGTCTATACAGAGTATTAATGGATGATGATCTCATGATAATCTTCATCACGGCTTTGTTCATGTTGAGAAAGGAACTGATTCGAGAGAATATGGGATTCGATTACATCTTCGAATTTGCGTACTGTCTCTCCGATTTCATCATCCAAAGCGTTCACTCTCTCGTTTTTGTTGTTGCAGTTGTCGAATCTTTTGAGGACTTCTTGTATGGATTGAACATGTTTATACGCGGATTTTATGAATTTCTTTGAGGGTGGAACGAGGGATATTTGAGAAGAATTTAGAAGGCGCTCAATTGAGTTTTGTTTTTAATTTTTTTTTTCTGAAATGTTTGCTCTCCGGGGTTAACTGTTTTTTTGCCAAAAAAAAATCTCTTTCGATTACTTTCTGAAATAGTAATATTGAATCCCAAAACAGTAATATTACTGTCTCAAACAATAATGTTACTAATATTACTATCGCAGACAATAATATTACTGTCTAAATAGTAATATATATTACAGTCCCAAATAGTAATATTGTGAATATTACTTTCTCGAACAGTAATATTACTAATATTACTGTCCCAGACAGTAATATTATTGCATGAGACAACAATATTTCAGTCGAAGACAGTAATATTACGGTCGAAGACAACAAAACTGCAGGCCAAGACGATAATTAATACAGTAATATTACTGTCTCAGATAGTTAAATTACTGTCTCCGCCAGTTAAATTACTGTTGGAGACAGTAATTTAGCAGTCAAGACAGTAAGATTAATTAAAATATTTTTTAAGAAAAAAAAAGTTTAAAAAAAAAGTCAACGCCGGAGATCGGCGGTTGATCGGGCGGAAAGAAAATTTCAGTAGAAAAAAAAACTTAAAAAAAAAAGTCTGCCGGAAGACCGGCGGTCAATGGCGGCTAACCGGCAGTCTCTAGCGGTGGCGGGTCAAAATTAAAATAAGGATCAAAATTGGTTAATTGGTGAAATTTGGCTAAATTAGGATGCAAATCATAAAATTGAAATTGAATGAAGATTTCAAGAAATTGAGGGTAATTTTGATATATATAAAAGGGTTTTCCTTTCGCTGTGTTCTGCGTTCTGCGCACGAAAAAGGATATAAAAAAAAAATTATGTAATGTAATATAAGATTAAGAAATATTGATTACTTAACTGTCCAATAATGGCATGCAGTTTCTTGGAAGACAATCTGTAGATACAAAAACAAATAATAATAATAACTATTTCAAATGGTTGACTTATTGCATCTCTGAGCAGGCCTTTACTTAAATTTGTTTGAGAAAGAGAAAGAAAGAAGGAGAGAGAAGAGAGAAATGGCTTATGCTGCTGTGATTTCTCTTAAACAGACAATCGAGCGCCTTCTAAATTCTTCTCAAATATCCCTCGTTCCACCTTCAAAGAAATTCATAAAATCTGCATACAAACATGTTCAATCCTTACAAGAAGCCCTCAAAAGATTCGACAGCTGCAAAAACAACAACAACGAGAGAGTGAATGCTTTGGATGATGAAATCGGAGAGAAAGTACGCAAATTCGAAGATTTAATCGAATCTCATCTCTCGAATCAGTTTCTTTCTCAATACGAACAAAGCCATGACGAAGATCATGAGATCAGTCATCCATCGATACTCTCCGTGGAAACGGAGGAATTAAAGCAAGAGACTGATTCCTTCAACGAAACAGTCAAGAAGATGGAATGCGAGTACATTCACGAACTCAACAACTCAGCCTGTGAAGAAGAAGATGCCGTTTTATCAAGAATTGGTTCCCGTGGAAAAAAGTCAAAGATGGTTGGACTTTCTGATCAATTTCGAGAAATCCAAATGCGGCTTCTAGATCTAACGGCAGACCCATATAATTACTACACGTCTGTCTCTCTCGTTGGAATGGCGGGCATTGGTAAGACTACTCTTGCTATGGAACTTTTTGAAGATCCATTAATCTCGAGCCATTTTGACTGTCGAGCTTTTGTCAACGTAGGCCAAAAGTATGAGCTAAAATCGGTCTTGCAAAGTATTCTAGCTCAAATGAATCCTGAGATTGAGGAAGTTCTCAAAGGAGGTTTGAGATCATTGTATGACTTGAAAAGAATGATGTACCCAAATTTCAAGGGCAAGAGATACTTGATTGTGTTGGATGATGTATGGAATAATCAGGTGTGGGGAGATTTGAGGAGGTTGCTTCCAAACAACAAAAACGGAAGTCGAGTCTTGCTGACAAGTAGGCTACAACTAGTACCTTACTATGTTAGCGATAGTAATAATTACCAAATTCGGTTGCTGAATAAAGAAGAAAGTTGGGATCTTCTTCGTCACAAGTTGTTTGGTGAAATGCCTTGCCCTCTCGATCTTGAGAGAGCTGGAAAGAAGATTGCCGAAAATTGCGAAGGTCTTCCTCTTCTAGTCGTCATAGTTGCCGAGATACTATCTAAAGCTGACCGAACTCCAAAGTACTGGAAACAAGTAACAGAGAAAGAAGATGCAGTTTTCATGGATGCAAAGGATCAAATACTTAAGGTACTATTTTCAAGCTATGAATACTTACCTCAACATTTAAAAGCGTGCTTTCTTTATATGGGAGTTTTCCCTGAAAATTACGAGATTCCTCGCTCCAAGCTCATCAATTTGTTGAGTGCCGAGGGATTTCTCGAACCAGTTGCTCCATCAAGAGCCATCGAATCGTTTTCAATGGAATGTTTGGAGGAGCTTGTTTCGAAAAACCTTGTTACCGTCCATCAAAAGAGGTCCAATTCGCCTTATAATTCACTATACAATTTCAAAACTTGCGGTCTCCATTCTGTCTTTTGGCATTTATGTAAGAGAGAAGCTGAGAAGAACAAATTTTCCCGTGTCGTAAATAGTTATGACACTAATTTAGGAGAGGGTATAGAACACCAGCGCCGATTGTGCATCCACAAAAGTATTCTATTTGCCAACAAAGATGTGTACGAGTCCATAGCATCCATTTCAAACACGCGTTCACTCCTATGTTTTGGTGCGTATCACAAATATCCGGTACCTATTTGTTTGGAATATTTAATTTTGTTGAGGGTATTTGATGCTCTTACAATCCGTATGTACGAGTTCCCAATGGAAGTACTGAAACTAGTTCAGCTAAGGTACCTTGCCCTCACTTATGACGGAAATCTCCCTCCTTCAATATCCAAACTTCGAAACCTTCAATTCTTGATTATCCTTCGACATTTAAACATCATTAAATCTTGTATAAAATCGTCGTATTTGCCAATGGAGATATGGGATATGCAAGAACTAAAGCATCTTCAGATCACAGGAAGCAATCTCCCCGATCCTTGTGGAGCTATCTTACAAAATCTCTCAACACTTTTAGATATAAGCCCCCATTGTTGTAGAAAGGAGATTCTTGAAAGAATCCCTCGTCTAGAAAAGCTAGGAATCCGATTCGATTTGGCACACGATCACGATGCTAAATCATTAAACTGGTTCGATGCTGTTTCTAATCATACACGAACAGTGAAATGTGTCGTTGTGAATCCTATTCCTAAGTCTGAGGTTGTTGTGGGCCCACCAGCTCCGCTTTTCACTAATATATATTCGAGACTTGCAAAGTTGAGTTTGAGTGGGTTCGGATATCCATGGGAAGACATAAGCAAGATTGCTTCATTGCCGTGCCTTCATGTGTTGAAACTGCGACGCTACGCCTTTCGAGGGGCGAAATGGGAAACTCAAGACAAGTCGTTTCGATCGCTTGAGGTACTTTTAATTGAAGACTCTGATCTGGTTGAATGGACGGCCGGATTTAAGACGTTTCGATGTCTTGAGCACTTAACATTGAAAAACTGCCACAAACTAGAACAGATTCCTCGGGATTTATATATTCGGCTAAATATAGAGTTGGTTGACTGTAACGCTTCAGCTGTGGCTTGTGTAAAGCAAATGCAAGAGGAGGAGCGGAAAAAAGATAGAAATTTCCCTAAAGTCTATGTCTATTCTTCTGTTTAAATGGTTGGTTAATTAATTTTATTGTAATAAAATTTATTGGAATGAATAAATTATTTTCTTGAAGAATGGAACATGTTGCTCAGAGCGGTTGGAGGCCAGAGTTTCGATTTTAATCAATTTTGTTGTTATAAACATTGGGAAATTTACAGTTTTATGGTATTTTCTACTCTGTTTCTTGCAAGATTATCAGCTTTTATAGTTGCAATTTTTGTACTCACATGGGCTCTTCATTTCAAGACTAGCTTTATTTCTCAAGAGGAAGATGACCTCATCTTTGCTGTAAATGCAATATATATATTATTTAATACTCCCATTTCTTGATTTTTTATTTATTTTATTTATTTTATAGTCTACATTTGCATGGATTTATTTTTGTTTGTTGAGCAGGTGTTGCATCCTTTGCTGATGGTGATTGGTTTCATTGTTGTTAGTGGAGAAGGTATGTATATGAAATTATATTTCATATATTATTTTATTTGGGGGCTCAAGATTTTACTTTAATTTAATTTAACTAGTAATCATGTCCGTGCGTTGCACGGGAACGTACTAAACAAAATTAAAGGAAAAAAAAAGTAATTGTTTAAATAAATGATAGTACGAATTGTAATAAAAAATCTATCAAATAATATTGAAATATATCTGTCAAATTAAAAATAAACTACTATTACTTTATTTTAGTGTAGCACATATTTTTCATCATACAATCGGCGTACATACTCACACACTGAATGTCAATAATATATGTTAAATAATAAATAATACAAACTTAACAAAGGGGACATCAATTTGAAATACCAATTGTTTATCATTTCAATACCGCCTAAATAATAAATAGGTAATGCCATTTATACGTTTAGTGAAAATCAATATCGCACAAACATAAAAAATTACATTTACATTTATATTTCTCATCCTCTTTTTTTTTTCTTCTTCTTCTTATTCTTCTTCTCATCTTCATCCTTCTCCTTCTGTTTTTTCTTCTTCTTATTCTATTCTTTTTATTTTTCTTATGTTTCTTCTTATTCCTTCTTCTTCCCGCTTCTTCTTCTCGCTTCTTCTTCATGTTTCTTCCTATTTCTTCTCCTCCTCCTCTTTTTCCTCATCTTCTTCTTATCCATTTTTCGTTTCTTCCTCTTCATCCTCTTTCTCTTCCTCCTCTTCGTCATCCTCCTCCTCGTTCTCCTCCTTATCGTCCACCTCCTCTTCTTCCTCTCCTTTTCGTCTTCCTTCTCCTCGTCTTCATCTTCCTCTTATGCGTCTTCTTGCCTCTTTTTCTTAGCTTCTTCTTCCTCCTCCTTGTTCTTCTTCTTTTTCTTCTTTCTCTTCCTTTTATTCTTCTTCCTCTTATTCTTCTTCCTCTTCCTCTTATTCTTCTTCATCTTCCTCGTCCTCTTCTTCCCCGTCCTCTTCTTCCTCTTCCTCTTCTTCCTCGTCATGTTATTCTTCTTCCTGATCTTCTTCCTCTTCCTCTTCGTCTTCCTCTTCTTCCTCCTCTTCCTCCTCCTCTTCGTCTTCCTCTTCTTTCTTCTCTCCTTCCTCTTTATCTTCCTCTTCTTCTTCGTCTTCCTCTTCGAATTCTTCTTCCTTCTCTTCTCCCTCTTTATCTTCCTCTTCATCTTCCTCTTCTTCTTCGGCTTCCTATTCGTCTTCCTCTTCCTTCTACGGCAAAGTTTTTTTTTCTTCTTTCACATCTTCGTCT